TCACATCCAAATAACTCAATTATTTATTTGCCAAACACTTAAATCATCAATGATTTCGAGTGGAAGTAGGATTAGATTTTAAATTGGCAAGTGATGGAATCAATCCTGCAATGTTTAAATATTAGTTTACAAATATTGCTTATAGCTTAATAGCATCATAGATGTAACTTCACACAGATATTGGCTCTAGACAGTAATTATACCCTCAGCCTAATGTTGCAGTTAATGGACATACACATTTCAGTGATAATTGCAATCCCTGAACATGATAATGTGCCTTTATTAGCAGCTACAAAATAAAGCTCAGCAACAGTCAAGTGAAGAACTGAACTGTGCTTATTATTTATTGCTCGTATTGCCTGATTCGTGTTATAAAATTCTAAAATAAAATAGTGTGGCATTTAAATCAGTGCTTTAATTGCAAACGTGAGTAATGGATATCTCTATAATGATTTATACAGGTTTGGTTGTCATGAGCAAGGAGTCCAAAGGTAATGAGTGAGAGAGACAAAGGTGTAAGTGACAGAACAGCAAATACACTGCGATTCAGGGGGAAAAAAAGAAAAGGAGGTTTTAAGGACTTAAGGACTTACAATGTCATCGTAGCAGAAGGAGGAAGGCAGGACTATATCATGCAAAATCAGAGAAAAGAGAAAGCAGAATAAAAACTCCCCAAGCAAAGGCAGAAAGGAATGTGCTGTACAGTGCATGAACTCACACATAAACAACCACGTAAAAATTATGGAATTGAGGACATGTAAAGAGAAGAACACTTTACCACTCAGCCTAATGAGGAACTCGGTGTTTATGATTGCACAGAGTTTTCTCTATGTCCTGACAGTGTGTTTACAGTACAGAATTGCCAGGTAATGGAGAAATTCAATAAAGAAATTTCCAAAAGCAGTTAAAGGGCAGACATTGTAATTTAAAGTTTGCCAAGGTTTTATTACTGAGAACTACTTATTCTGACTTCTGTACTAACACTTACCTTCTATTTAATTCAGTATGGGCTGTTAAGTGAATGTGGATTTTACATGGTGAGCACTACTCCGTGCTTCCCTGCCATCCTGTAGCTGGAAAAGCACAAACCTGCTGTGTCTGATGAACCACAGGGAGCTGTGCTGGGCTGTTCCTCCTGCTCACACCCTGGGGGAAAGCTCTCACGGGTGTGGAATTGTGCAACAGCTGCTGCAGCTTTCCACCAGCACCAGAGGATCCCAGACCCAGCAAAGCCAATCCCGACTTTCTTTTCCTACGTAAACTGCAGAGAGACTGGATGAGAGCAGTGTGGGAGCTACGAAACAGAGCAAAAATGAGATTTGGCCCAGTGAAGGAAAAAACACCAGTGAAAATATTTTTCTTCTGAAACAACCATTTTTTATTCTTCCTAGAAAATGCCACAGAAATAAGTTGTATCCAATTCTCACTGTAATATTTCCTTAACAAACTCTAAATGTTAAACTTAAATGAGAGGCATTTCATGCAATCTGAAATATATTCAGTTCAATTAAAAATAATTGATGCATAGTGAAATAATTCTTCCCAAAGCTGCTGTAAGATCTTCAAAAAATAGAGCTACTTAATAATTTTCATCTCCTACAGGCTAGAGAGAAGCATTATTGCATATTAAAATTGGAGTGTGGTTTTCCCAGAGGTAAAAGAAAGTTATTAAAACAACCTATTTATTGTTGATATAACTATCCATTTGTGCTACACAAAAAGTAACAATTTCAGTACATTAAAAGAAAAGCTAATTAAGGCATAATTAGTATTTTCTATGTTTTGCTAATTAAGGGTTAGTTGGCTATTTCTTATCAAATTTCTATTTGAGGTAACCCCAACCATGTCTTTAATGAGCAGCTAACACTATTGAATCCCTGATGGCTGAGGAGTTTAGTGACCACTACTACATTACTTTCATTTATCACTGCCTCTTTACGTATAAATTAAAGTAGCCCTGTAGCTATGTTGATCTACTTTATATCAATTTCTTCATCCATATCAGCTGAATATGTATGGCATTAACCTCATTTACTAGTTTGGAAAAGCTGAATTAAAATGAGATCTAATTTCTAGTGCACAGAACAATTTCAAAACTGCCTGCTAATTCCCAGCACCTGTCAGTGTTGGATCTTCACCTCGTGGTAATGAAATAAAACAGTGTATGTATTTTACAGCCAGGAAAGGATAATCATTCATAAGGGTTAAGATATCATTAATCATGGAGATGCCAGGGCCCAGAGCTTTGCTCAGCCATTCACAGCTCAGCTCCTCCACTCGCAAGGATCCCAGTGAAGGCAGTGGCACTGCTGCCGATCTCTGCTCTCGCACTGCACAGGGGTCGCATGCTGCACAACAAGTGTATTTCTCTTTTTTGCTAGGTCATGCTTTGTGTCTGCAGGCAATGTAATCAGAGATATACACATACTGAAGAAATCTCAAAATAACAAGAGAATGCCCCTTCCAGGTGAGAGGACAAGCCTGTGTTCAGTGCTTAGGGAACACCGGGCTATACACGTCTGGCTTTCAGCTGCTGCAAACACAACCCAGCAAGAAAGCTTTTTTTTTTTTCCTCCCCCCTAAACGCACTGTAGTCTAAATTCTAAACCCTTGAGATACGTTTTATGATAGTGCAGATCTGCCAAGTGTAAAAGCCCAGGTTCCGAGCCTGTGGGACCGACAGGCGGTGACTTTATCTCTGCACGGGTACATGAGGCTGCTCCCCAGAAACCCTGCAGGATTTTCACTCCGCTCTCCCACCTTGGGTCCCCATCACTGCTATTTAAAGATGGGGCAAAATAAAAACACAGCTTGCTGGAACACCCCGTTGCCAGGGATCTTCACTTCCAGAGGGCTCCCTCAAGCTGCAGTACCCGGCACGGATTAACCACGCCAGGATTGTCTGAGCTCGTTCAGGGCTACCGAGCAGGGAACCGGCAATCGCTCACCGTGAAGAGCTCGCCTAAGTGCACGTTAATAACAAAATGAACGGACCAAACAAGCACCGCCCGGCACACGCAGCTACCTGAGGAGAGCACGGCGACATTTCCCGGCGGCCGCGCTCGTCCCGCCCAACTCCGGTGCAACAGCGCCGCGCACCGGGCTGGGCCCGCGCCGGGCACCGGAACCGTGGCGGCACCGGAACCGGGCACCGGCACCGGGCAACGGAACAGCGGCGGCACCGAGCCCGCCCCGCCTGCACCGGGCACACAGCCACCTCCTATGTGCCCCTTCCTCCAGCACTGTCCCCTAAATGATTCTGGTTTCAATCACAAAATGTTAAACGAGCACAAGCATTCCCCCAGAAAAGTACAATGCAATTGAACTAACGATAAAAAGAACTTCCTGCCTCTATGCCTACAATGTCCAAGAACTAGAACTATTTTTCACTTCCAGAATAACTCCCATGCAATCTCATGAGAAAAATCTTCAACCAAAGCAATCTCTTTTTTACAATCACTGTGACAGTGTATATGTGGAAAAGGAACTGTTACAAAAGTCAGAACTCCCGAGTATGAATGCACCTTAAACTTGTTTCAAGTCCATGATTCTCAGTGAACTGAAGAAATTTCAGTAACTACTACCTTCGTTCAGTGGCATTTCCTTTGATACATTAATCGGCAAGACTTACCAGTTACATTGACCCCGGCAATATCTTATGGCCCTTTAGGGGCAGGCACAGCCAACCCCTGCCCATCCTGCAGGCTGCTGATCCAGCCTGTCCCAGGAGATCCGGGAATGGCTGCACACTGAACTGCTCCAGACAAGGCTACAAACCCCTCCTTTGGCTTTTCCGCCCTCTGAGGGCAAGTGTCTGCTTAGCAGCTCTGCTTTTCCAGACAACTTTCTTCCTCCTACCCTGCCAGCATCCAAACCAGCAATACACCACAAAACAGTGACACTATGAAAACTAAGTCATGCCAGCATTAAAACAAAATATGTACTGACAGACAATTGATAGACCAGTATTAACAGTCCTCCACAGTTACCAGAGAGTCCAGTCCAGTATTCAGCAGAAATTTATTATGTATATACTCATTCAAAAGTCTGTCTGTTCCACAGCCAGTTAATCTTGATGCATCATTTTTGTACTGGGATGGTTATGGCACTAAAAGTGTATTACAGCATCATTGAAGAAATCTCTGAGGTTTTGCTCTCCTTCCTCAGACAGTAAGCCCCAGTGGGCTGGTTAATAAGAAGGCATTCATTTACCTAGCCACTTCTCTTTTCCTATAATGAGTTTGCTTTTATTACATGCACATGCTTAAGAATATGAGTTAATTATTGAACAAAATTTATATATTTATATAGAAGACTTGTTCTACACTTACATCAGACTCTTCACCGTTGTCTAATCATTTTCTGTTTGTCAGTATGAAAGCATATGAGCAAAAAAAATCATTACAACATAACTGAAGCATGAAAAATTTCCATTATCCATTCTGTAAATAGAACAATCCAAGCAGTCCTGAACATTTATATAAATCTGTATTAACTTAGTCATTTGATGTATGTCTGACTTTCCTGGTTCCAAGTTTCTTGCCAGTTTGCAGAGAGCTGCCAGCAGGACCCGAATGTGAGGATTTGCAGCGCGGGGGCAGCGTGCCATCTGCTGCTCTCTGAGCTGCTACAGCAGCGCCCAGTGCTGCCTTCTGCTGCCTCTGAGCCGCACACACACACACAGCTCAGCCCACATCATTGAAAATGTGTACAAAAGCACCAAAACAGGGAGCTCAGATGCCTTCACACAGCGTTTGTGAGATGAGCTGGCAAATACTGCACTCCAGACCATGGGAATCTGCCCATGCACATGAGGGGCTCCTGTACCTGCTCTAGGCCTGCTAGAACACAACAAAAAGTTGACTGCAAACTAAAGGATAGTGGTAAATAATGTAATCAAACTGTTGAAAAAAAAATCACTTTGAAAGTGCATTTGCAATGAACTCTAGGGGTCAAGAGTGGAGCTGGAATTCGGGAACATCCTTTGAATGGTTACATACCAGGAGAGCCTTGAAGAACTCCTCCTGTCCCAGCCTGGTTCCATAGGAGCACATGCCTGGGGCAAAAGCAGTGTATGAAATAGATTTATCACCAGTTTGACTCATGTCCACTGATGGGGCAGAGAAAAAACAGAGACAATGAATCAACACAAAACCGTTTTCTTACATTCACCCTACAGTGTTTCACCACATCCTTATAGTACAGGTTATTTCTTTCTGTTCCAAGTGCTCTTCAATAAATCGGCTGGAAACATTAGGCAGCATTTCCTCAGTAATTACCATTTCACCCTCCCTATACAGTGCAGGGGCAGAGCCAGGCTTGTGGTCATCCACAGCACACTGCTGAGCTGGCAAAGGGTCAGCCTGGACATTTTTCCTACTGATAACAGAGCTCCAGGTGCTTAAATACAAATAATGCACTGCCCATTTCTGCTTGCTGCTCCACACACACACAAATGCTTCCTCCAGCTCTCACTAAGGATGGATATAAAAAGCTTGCGGTACAATCTCCTACCCAATCCCTCAGAGCACACTTTACAGTGATGGGGCCTCTCCAGGCAGTTACACCCCTATCAGGTGGGATAACAGGGGAAACAGAAATCCTCAACATCGGATAAAGTGAAAACAGTAATTATAATGGTATAATAAAATAATTTAGGAACAAATGAATACAAATAAAAATAATATTATTATAATAAAGAGAAATTACAGATCAGAACAACAACTACTGTAGAGCCACACTGCCTTTGGAGTCTCATTAGTAGGAATTTTGCTCATGAAAATACCTGGAGCACCAGTACACTTTTATGGGGTACTTCCTGTCCCTTAGCATTAGAGAAGTCCACCAGATTTTAAAAGAACAAGTCAGCTCTGACAACTGAAAGGAACACACTGCTTTAATGGAAAAGTAATTCAGTACAGTGCATAACTTTCCTTTTAATAGTGAGAAAGTTGAAGTACATTTCAAACCTGAAGAGGTAAAAATATTCTGGAGATTGGTACTGTCCTCCAGAAAGCAAGGAAGGCATGCTACACAAGTGAAGCCAAACCTCAGTCACTGTCACAATTCTTGCTAAAGATTTGCTTGAGGCTCCAACAGAATTCTATCTCAAGATAAATTCATCTCATCTTACTGACATTCTCTTTATAACATCTACATTATGACTGTCCCCTACAGTTAAGGTGAATTAACTGCTGCTTCTTCAAAAATGCATCTTACTTTTCCTTTTCCATATTTAAAATGCAGAAAAGCCAAGTAATGTGAGAAATACAGTGGAAACCACATAAATGAATAACCGTCAAAAGAACAGAACTATTAAAAGAATAAATCTTGTGTACCCAGCTGTGAAATATAACACAATATAGCAGAACCCAGCTAAATGTTTGAAATAAAAAATTGAAATGCAAAGTAACCTAAAATTGTTTAATGAACTTTGCTGCGAAAATATTAACTCCCTGAATGCCAAAACTCCAAAGCATAAATGGTAGGAAGCCTGATTAGATGAACATCTCAATAAGTGGTTCCGTCTCTCTCCATCCAGTCATTTTCCCTCAGCTGAGCTCTCAAGAGCTTTTATGGGTGAGATATATTGGCAAGTTCATTTCTGCACAGATTGTTTGAGTTCAAATGTTGTGGTTTACAACAATTATTTACCTTTGAGCTGTGCTGAAGCTTGGCTCTCATGCTGATCCAAGAACCACAGAATTGCCAGTTCTACCTCTTCATTTTACTACTGGGGTAACCGAGCATCCGTCAAAGAAATCATCCAGAAAACTCTTAATGACACAAACAAACATTTTCAGGAAGAATTCTGAAATGAAAGCACAGCCAATCTCTTTGGGAACCCATCAGCTATTTCTGTTTACCCAGCTTTAAGGCTGTTCTAGGATTTAGCGGGAGCAGCAGCTGGTCTGTGAGCAGCACAGATGGATCGGCCCCAATGGACCGCGAGCGGCCCAGCCCAGCTCAGCCCAGCTCAGCAGGAACAGGGTGAAGGTGTGCCCGGGTAAGGCAATGATTGGCTGGATTCAAACCCAAACAGCGGATCCCAGCCAATCCCCTGGAACCATCATCAATGCACCCATCCCATTGGCCAGGGAGCTGGGCGGAGCTAAGGCTCCAACCAATCACGTGCATGTGCGCGAGAAATTCAAAGCCCCTCTAAAGGGGGCGCCCAACCCCAAACCGCGGCCGCATGTGCGCTGTGCGCTCTTGTCGCGTGCCTGGCGCCAACACCCGCGACAAGATTTCTCCTTGTTTAGATGCTAATTATGCTAATTGGCCATGATTAAACATAAACATCAACATAATGTTTTTCTAATTACTTTGTAATTTGAAATTTCCTCAGATGTGTGTGTTACACTGTGGTGAATTTGTAAAAGAGCTTTGTTGGGTTTCTTTTTACTTGGAGCATCCCTTCCAGAGTGAAACAAACACAAGTCTGAGAAACTTCAGGCGTCTCAAACTGCAAGTGCAGAAGAGCAGTTTGGGTTCCCTGGGCACTGAAGCTCTTGTACATAGAAACAAATTTACATATGTACCATATAATGCAGGGTCAGTCCCTCCACTTCTGTCTGTCCTAAAACATCTGAACCAACGATTTTTCTGCCCTAAATCCTTCCCTGGTAAATATTTCCACATTAACAAGATTCAATTCAAAGAATCAATTTCAGTCTGTGTCAGCCAAGAAAATTTAATTAATTTTTAAAAGGAATATTCCTTTATTTAACCCCACGAGTTCTTCTGCTATCTATTCCTTGAAATCTGAATTCCCTAGTAATTCTTAAAATTAATTTTCACTTTTTGTCAGGTCTGGTACAGCCACTGGATTGGAAGTCAGTAGCTACTTCATCTGTAAACCTGTATATTAAAACCTTTCACTTTTAATAAAAAAATAGCGGAAGATGGCTAACACCACAGAGCCCCAGGGTAGATTAGAAAGGCAAGAAACAAAAGAGAAAATGTAAAGCTTTTTCTCCGCTTCTAAGTTGCATGTCGTTTTTCATGTGTTAGCTAGTGGATGGAAAAGAACACAATCAAACATGCACAAGGATTAAGAAAGTTTCTGCTACAAGAAATTGGTCATTCACAATAATCCCCAGCTCACTGCAATAGGAAGACTCTAGTATGCACATTTTAAATCTAGAGCCTTCTTTTTTATTCCAAGCTCTAGTCTAAAAATAAGGCTAAATTTCCAGTTGTTGACCAGCAGCTCCTCTGCACTTCTTCACCCACAATAATTAAAGGAAGTACTGCAGGAAACAGTGAGCAGAACTCACAAGTAATAAAATTTACACTTGTGGAACACATAAATGAAAGCCCTTCACCCCCTCCTGCCAAGGCTCTGGAGAAATTACAGACTTAATTACCCCTAAATGTTACAGAGAGGATGAGGGAACTGCTCAAGGAGAAAAACACCTTGGCCTGATTTGACAGTGCTGCCTTACCACAAGAATTTGTCTTTCTTCTTGGTTTCTCCTAGTTCAATAAAATAATTATTTTAGCAAATACTGAGATGGTAGGGCCCAGCAAAACTGAGATACAATTAAATTAAGAAAAACATAAAAAAGAAGACAAGCTCAGAATTTATACAGTCCAAGTTTTATGGCAAGACATAGAGAGATGGCAGAGAGATGGAGAGACAGCAAGAGAGACGTGGAAGAAAGAAGACTTGAATTTTTGTCTTTGAACCTTTTTTGGCCACTGGAGCTTAATTGGGTGCCACATAATCCATTTAAGCACAGAATTCATCAAGTCAGAAAACAACAGGGGCAATTATGTGAGCAATTTATGTTCAATAATGAAAAGCCTCACCTCGTTCAAAAGAGCACACAAACACCGGTGTGTTCTTCAGAGAGGCGTCACAAAATGAGGCAGCTCTTTTACAAGGCTTTGCTGAAGGTCTTGAATAATCATCCCAAGAAAAGTAAGGGATGAATAAACAATGTTTCTTTGTTGCTAAAACTAGACAGATATTTGGCAGATTAATTATTTGACGCCAGAAATGAAAAGCATGGCCCAGCTCTAAATGCAGGCCTCAACAGGTTCCTGGCTTGCCTCATTTTTTTCCTTCAAGGTTGTTCCTCTTTCTGGATGGATAGGCCTGAGAAATTCTTCAAGTTAAGATGTAGGCAAAAGAAACTCACGAGCAGAAATACAACTGGTTGTTCATTTTGCTTTACAGGTTCTGGTGCCTGTGATGAGAGAATTGATGCATGCAGTACTGGACGAGTCCCTGCACTAAGTTTCCTGTGTCTATATGTATTTTTGTCAGAGAAGAAAGGTGTTTTAATCCCTTCATGGCTAAGAAATATTTTTCATGAAAGGCCTCACCAGCATCCCTTGCAGAAGGAAAAAAGACGCTCACCAGATCCATTTCCCGAGTCAGTTCTGAGAGAACCATTCCTGTTACACAATGGTCCACAATGCCCTATGGGGGAAAAAGACAGGATTGCTCAAACATCAGGCTTTGTAGTTACCATTTTCCAGAATTACTAGAAGCAAATTGTATTTAATATTTTCCAACATGTCTAGAATGAAGAGGAATTGTTAGGCTGAGACTTCCTAAGATGTTTAGAAGGCTTTCATGCCAAATTCTATTAACATTAATGGAACTAGACCTTCACATTTCCTAATTATCTCTGAAAAAACCCTCTCATCATAAATTTTAAGAATTGTCTAATAACAAAAATCCATCTGAAAACAGACTCCAAGGAATTGGAGTCTAGAAATTCACTCCTACACTTTTCTCAGAGATCTCAGAGGTTTAGTATTCTAGCCCTTGAAAGGCAAGCTGCATGAAATTCAAACCATTAGAAAAAATTAAGCTCTGCACAGATGAAAAAGATCAGAGGGCACTCTCAAAAATACACGCTACCTATCAAAAATCCATTCTCTTCCTTCCACAGTAGTTTAAAAAGCATTGGTTTGAACTGGATGATACATTCCATCATCGAGAACTTCTCTCTAAAAAGCAATGCAGGGGGTGTTCAGTATTCCATGTGAGCACACAATTTCATCATCGGGGCTTAAGATCCTTGGAATGTTTTAAAATCAGATAGAATGCAGAATTGTGCAATTAATTAACAACATTTAACTGTCTTCATTCAGCTATGCCAAAGCTTTTATAGAACAATTAAATCCACTCCTTGTTGAAACAACTAAAACCAGCTGCCTCAAAATCAATTAGGCCTTGCCATTTAATCTGGGGAAGATCTCTGTGCACTTTCACAGCTGCAGTTTGCAGCCTCAGCTCCCCTGGTGTCCAAAATACCAAGTCATACATGTCAATATTTTCATGCTATTTGCTGCAATCACACTTCTTTTTACAACTCTGAAGATCACCCAGAGTTCAGCTAATGAAAAATCTGGGTATTTACCAAGGGGTCTGACTTTACCCTGTCCTCTATTTTGTACTGTCACTTGCACCAAAGCACATAAGGAGAGATAATTTAGGGGAGATCTAAGGCAAAAGTTACATTGCTGCCCTATCTGCCTTTACATTTCACATTCTATGAATATTAGAATGTTCCTTAGATCACACAAACATGCAGAAAAAGAAAATGCACTCTTCCCTTCACTAGGTGTGAAACACTGTGTGCTGAATTATGAAGGGAGCTGGGAAAAGAACTGCAGACTTGGCTGCTAATTCCTTTCCCAATATTAAATCACACTCAAATTCACACTGGATGAACCTCAATCCAGAATGTTAATGTATATGTATTTGAAACTACCATATGCTAATTGTTACATATATTAGTATTGTTTAGCGATTATTTCTTCAGTTTTTATATAAAATTTAATTCACTAGATCTATGGTTTAATTTTCTTTTCTGCAGAAATTCTTAATTTAACTAAAGATATGTCTTACGAAACTATATTTTGTATTTAAATCACTGTTTTTAATGAGCTGCACACTGAAGAGTCACACTGAAATCATTTTAATAATAAATGCAAACTCCAATTACAGTACATTCATAAAAATAACTGCAAAATCATGGAAAAGTGTACTTGAGTTCATTTTTAATAAACAGATTATTGCAACTTAGCTTTTATTGGACATTCCCAAAGTAATTCTAAAAGTACATTAACTTGAACAGTATTACAAACAAAGTAAGACTGAAAAGCAAATGAGAACCTCACTGGCAAGGAAAAAAACCTGTTAACTTTGCACTTCCTTGCTGAGTTACTAGGATCACTAACACATATGCACATCATGGATCATGCTGCAAGTAAATTGCCAAATAGCTTGAAATATCCCATTGTTTCTCTTATCAGAAGGGGAGAAAGGCTTAACCTTCACACAGACATGTATCAGAAATGTGTTTCTACAGGAGCTGAAGAAAAGGGGAGGCATTAAACACAATGACTTGACAAGAAGGGCTGCTATTTTACAGCCACACCATAAGGACCGCTCTGAAAAAGAAAACCAAGCAAAAGCCATGGCAGCACTGTGAACTCTGTGAGGCGTCAAACCCCACAGCCTCACACAGGCAGCACAACCACCCTGGTCCTTCCCATAGCACAATCTGTTCCAAGCAATGCAATTCACATTTTCCCACCCCAGTATGAAACCAAGGAACATAACATGCCAGTAACTATAAATGAAGAGGCCCAAACAAAAAACCTAAAAAAAAATGAGCAATGTTCCTTACCACCAAACCTTTTTTTTTGAACATCAGCAATAATGTCTTTGAAGATGAGCTGATTTTTCAGCACATCAAGCCATCCTAATTTTGTAATTTTAGAAATGATATTAATAGGAGCTTGATGACAGAAAGAACCAGTTTGGATCGAGAAGTGACACAGTTCAGAATGTAACTTTTTGTAATGAAGTATTTTAAGATTAGCAACACAAGTTTTCTACAAAGAATATGAGCTTAACAGTTCTAATAGAAACTTAAGCCATGGATTTTTTCAAAAGAATTCATATTGTCAGCACAATAATTAACATTAAAACATTAAATAGAGGTAAATATTTAACAACACAAAGTACATTACATACACAGTCATTATTCCAGGACACATGACAGCAGTTTTCGAATTCACAGAACACCAGCAGGTAAAACAATAATAATTTGTTCTGGTCCCATACAGTGGGCACTGATTATTTCACTCTGGAACAGCAGCTCTCACAGCCAGCTGTATTCAAGTTTTTACAACCAAGTCTCTATGAATTTTCTCAATTCAATCTTCATCTTCCCACCAGGTAATGGACTTTGCAGTGGTAGAAATTCTGCTCTAACTACCTTCAGGCACCTCCTTTGTTCAAACCCTTATCAACAGCTGAAAGGTGATTCCTAAGAAAACAATTGTGTCAACAGAGATGGTCTAGCAGTCAAACAGATGCTGGCTGCTTTAACTCATTTGGGAGTAGAAATAGACTCGAACAAGAAGTGGCATTTTTGATCACAAAGAACAGGAACTTTTTCCAAGGAACAGATTTACATCCTAATGGAAAACAGTAGATAATATTTCCCCCACACACTTGTCATATTCTCATAACACAAGAATAAGTTGAACAAAATTCTGTGGGTATTCCTGTCCCACCTCTCTAGCTCCCTGAAGTCCCAGGCATCTCTCCTAGCAGCCTGTCAAAGTTCCAAGAACCAGAAAGGCTGGAGGCCCAGCTCTGCAGCAGCCCACCAGGCAGGCAGCCATGGAGCCAAGCTCACTGGAAATCAGGGAGGTTCCTAACTTTGCTGACACAGAAAAATTCCCACAAACGTTTTGATTTTAAACAACACTTGCTGACTGAAAACACTCTCCCAAGAGCAACGTGACAGGCATAACTCCTGAATTGTCACAGTTGAGGGGGAAAAAAATTAAATTTAGTGGTCCTTTTACGTGCCATGCCTTGTACTCAAGTATTCAAATAAATGCCAAAAATGACCTCTCCCACGCTGCCAGAGCCTTGCTGCCAGCAGTGGAGCAAAGCCCCAAGGGATGCCACATGCCTGACACCTCAGCGGGTGTCTCCCGAAGCCCTTTCCCAGCCCCGCTTCCTTCCCCCGTCGTTCGAGGCCGTTTCAGTGGCTGATGCTCATCTCGGACACGTTCTGCAGTGTCTGCTTTTCGGGGGAGAAGAGGCGCAGGAGCCCAGCGCTGCCTTCAGGGAGCAG